GGACCTGACTACGTTATGGTAGCACCTGAACTTTGGTCAGTGCAGCTACAGAGGTGAAGGGTTGATTTACTGCTTATTTACTGTTCATTTAGTACTTCTTTAGATCACGTAAATATGTGAATGTCTATAGCCTGGACACAAGTTCATTTAAAATATGTTTGTCAACAGGATCATACTTAGGAAGATGACAACTTGCAGAAATGCTCAATTTCTTACATCACTTTATATTTCAAGCACCAAAAGGTCCCTACTATACAGTTACTGACACTTTAACAATCTTTACTATATATAATGTCATCAGAGGGTGCCAGCATTTATTATAAGATTCAGTTTTTCAAACATATAATACATTGTGTTTTGGCATTAGGGAAAGGCTTTGTGCTTCTTAAAGAATCAAAGCTATCTTGTCTTATATACATATTGTATTTCTACCATATAATGCCAGACTTCCTTAAAATAAACTTGTGCTTTGCCTGTGCAGGGCAAAACAACATGTTTTCATTAATGTCCTCCTTCCAAGGACCACATTTTGATGTTTGTTTTTGCCACCTTAATCAAAGAAAGAAGCCCTGTATAAGTCACTATACAAGCTGGGGCTTACACAGGTCAGTAAATTTTCTCCCTGTCCCCATGTGGTAATACTGTGCCATTCATCAAGCAAGAGCACTGACACATGAGAGGAAGGAGAGTGAGGAAATAGAGAGTATTTTCTTTTTCTTTTAGGCAGCTAAGCAAAGCTGTTGGAGAATAAAAGAAAGATCAGTACCCGTTGATGGAAATGGAGACATTGAGACAACCCTGTTGCTTTGCATGGGCAAAGCAAAGGTTTACTTTCTCTTAGGACATAGTTTATAACTGTGGCAGTTTTATTTTGTATATGGGAGATATATCCACACCAACTATTGTCCCATTAAGAGTGATAAGTCTCTGTAAGATCTGTTTTATAGCACATCCTGGGCAAGATTAACATAAGGCTGTATATATGTCACCAAGCTATTTTAGCTTGGATCTTTCAGATGTTCAGATCTGATAGAGCTTGTGTGGTTGTTTGTTTTACTGAGATGGTTATGTGAGAAAACATTAAGAATTTGCAACAATTTAGCAACACATAGGCAGTATGCAAGCAACTCAATGGCAGCAAGTACATATAAGTGTAGTGTAAAGTAGGATTATGCCACAGATTATGCAATTTTCTTTCCTTTCACCTTGGTTGGAAGGAAAGAAAATTGCTTGATTCCCCAATCAACATAGTCAGTGTTGATGGAGGAATCCTTCTCCTAGCACTATTATGTTCTGCCAGTGGGGAGCATTCCCTGCTGGCAGAATAAATGATTTGTGTTGCTGGCTATAGCCAGAGGCATTATTCATTTGGAAACAACCTAATAGGCTGGGTGTACACAAGTTAATATATCAACTTGTAAGGGTGCCCATACATGGATAAAAAATTCAGCTGGACCCTGCTAAACCGAACAGATTTCAATCCATATGGCTGGCTTAACTTATGTCATGGTTGTATGTTGTTGTGTGAGGCTAAATGAAATGATATAAATAAAATCCAAGCATAAACTGAGGCTATGTTATCTAGTGAGATTTATTTTTTTTTTAAAAGACACATGAAAATGATTAAGGTGATTTTCAGAACATAACATAGGTTTATTAAAGAACAAAAGAAAGCTGTTAAGTTAAATTTTGACAGGACTGAAAGCAGTCCTGCTGTTAGGAGCTGAACAGAGAGGTAAGCAGGATCAGCAGATATTAATTTGGTTTGTAGTAGCACAAGGTTGGATTTAATTACAGCTTAGAGCACCAATAAAATATAATCATATGTAACAGAGAGAAAGATTTCCGGCATAGTGAATTTGCAAAGAATATTAACCTAGGCTGTGTCTATTCTTTCTAAGTTGACTGCCTCCATTAAAGCTGTACCAAAGTACATTGTATTCTGAATGACTAGGGTAAATGAACATTTCCAGTAACGTCATTCTGACCACACATGGTAACTGCAAATTATTTTAGTACAAATGAGTTCAATCTCATATGTATGAAGAACAGTACAGTTGCAAAATGAATGACTAAGTGCAAAGCAACCACTCCAAAGTTACACTTTATTGGTTGAAAATAGTCTATTGCCAAAATAAAAAAACAATTTAAGCATTATATTATGCAGCAATATGTTGACTAAGGATATCTGCTAAGGTATTATAGTTTCCCATCAAGCAACTATGGCTGGGTTTATCATCTAATGCCTATCTTCACACATGTAACCATCATTAACTTTTATATAAAGTTAAAAATTAGACTTACCAATCATTAACAGAGTTGTCTTCTATTTTAAAGGATAAGTTCACCTCTGGAACATGTTACATGTCCACCCATAGCATGTTCCAGTATCTGCAACCCACACCCCTGATCCCCTCTCCTGTAACAGTGGGCAGGGGATCCCCCCTCAACTGCTGTCACAATTTGAATATAGTGTGGCTGTGTGGGTCTCCGCCCACACAGCCGCATCATTCATTTAAATTTTTCTGTGAAGGGATAGACAAGACCCATCAACCATTGCAGGTGACGGCTTGCAGTTCTCAATGAACAACGAGGTTGCTGGTGAGCATGCTGGTAGGTCATTGAGCTTCCTGCTCTTAGGTAACTGCCTGTCCAAAGGAGGTACGGACAGACAGATATCCTAGGAGTCTGCAGGAGCCTGAGATTGAACCTGTGATCTGCTGATCTCGGGGCAATACTTTGCAGGTTCATTAGAAAAAAAAAACACATTTGTTTACCTGCAAAAAAATGTGCATTTAATTTTTTTTTTCAAAAGGTGAATTTAGCCTTTAACTATACCCATGGTAATGTGTTTTTGATAGTGGAGCTGATGAATATGAAACATAAGGTTTGTATCATGTGCTGTTCAACCCTTCAAGGTTTGCAAACTAAATTAGGTCACTGAAGATGCTGTTGTTTATGTGGACACCTTATTAGCCTGTGAAGCCCAACTATAATAAAGGCTCCAAGTGCTGATCGGATGATGGTCTACTGCTGGTTTTGAAAGGCTGCTCTACACACTGGCCAAATGCTGGCCAATACCTGCCAATATTCAGCCAATATGTACCAGTCTTAAGTGCAAAGCAGATACTCCAATCTACAATTCATTGCCTGAACAATTATTATTATTATACAGTGTTTATAAAGCACCAATAGTTCGTGCAGCGCTGTACATTACAATGGGGGACAGAACAATAACAATACAATACAATGCAAAAACATGAGGGGATCGAGGGCCCTGCTCTTTCGAGCTTACAATCTAGGAGGGAGGGGATGGTGGCACAGGAGGAGAAAGCTGTGGGGGATGGAGTGGTAGGAAGAGTGGAGGAGGTCGGCAAGTTAGCAGGGGGTGGGGGGGTAGGCTTCCCTGAAGAGGTGGGTTTTCAGGGTGCGCCTAAAGGAGAGGAGAGTAGGTGATAATCTGATGGGTTGGGGCAGGGAGTTCCAGAGGATGGGTGACACCCTGGAGAAGTCCTAGAGGCGGGCATGGGAGGAGGAGACCAGGGAACTAGAGAGAAGGAGGTCTTGTGAGGAGCGGAGTGTGCGTGTTGGTTGGTACTTGAATATTAGGTCGGTGATGTAGTTCGGGGCAGTATGGTGGACAGCTTTGTACGTCAGTGTTAGGATTTTGAATTTGATCCGTTGCGCAATCGGAAGCCAGTGGAGGGATTGGCAGAGGGGGGTGGCGGAAACGGAGCGGTTGGAAAGGTGAATGAGTCTGGCAGCCGTATTCAGGATTGACTGAAGCGGGGATAGCCAGCGGCGAGGCAGGCCAGTGAGGAGGGAGTTGCAGTAATTGAGTCGTGATATGATGAGGGAGTGGATGAGCTGTTTAGTGGTTTCTGGGGTTAGGAACGTGCGTATTTTGGCGATGTTGCGGAGGTGGAGTCTGCATGAGTTTGTTAAAGATTGGACTTGGGGCTGGAAGGATAGGTTGGAGTCCCGAATGACACCAAGTACTCTGGCCTGCGGGCGGGTTTGATGGTGGCGTTGTTGGACATGATGGAGAAGTCAATGGGGGGTGGTGTGCGGGCTGGGGGGGGAGACAAGAAACTCGGTTTTGGAGAGGTTCAGTTTAAGGAAGTGGAGCGACATCCAGTCTGATATGTCGCTCAGTAGGTGTGTGATTCGGGCTGAGACTGAGGGGGTGAGGTGGGGGGTTGAGAGATAGATTTGTGTGTCGTCGGCATATACTGTAGGTGGTATCTAAAAATCCAATTCAGCCATTATAATATAAAACAAGGTCTGTTGGCTAATTATATCTACAGTACTAAGGAATGAGTTTCCATCACCAAATTGTGGCTGAAATGAGCAGGTTAGTGTAACCATCATATAATGTCTACCTTCACACATATAACCATCATTACCTTGTCTATAAAGTTGAAAATTAGGCTTACTGGTCATTTAACAGAATTTGAATTGAAATCTACTACAGTCTTCTATTGTAACTATATTCATGGGAAAATGTTTTCAGGAGCTGGGGCTGATGAATATGAAAAATAAGGTTTGAATCATGTACTTTTCAACCCTCCAAGGTTTGCACTCTAAATGAGGTCATTGAAGATGTTGTTGTTTATGTGTACACCTTAATAGTCTAATATTTATTACCTTCATTGCTAAATGAGTTCACAGCAGGAATTACTCTGCTTGGCTGAAGACTTCAATCAAGTTGGCTCATTACTAATACATTGTTGTTTAATCAGAAATAGTGATATACAGTATTTGATGTCTCAGTTTATAAAACATTGTTATGACAATGAAAACAAAACACAACAAAGCACTCATTAACACAATCATTTCAACTGTATGCAAACTCAAAATCACTTTTTCACTGTGTATGGCATTATGACTTACTGCAAACAGTTCTAAGAAAATATGTTTTTGTGAATCTGTTGCAAAGATTGTTACTTGAAGATCTCCCCAGTGACACTACTTTCTGTTGTAGGCTGACAATGCTAAGCCACACCCTTGCATTTCCCTGCAGTCTCATCAGGCTGATCCTTGAAGTGGAACTATAGTCAGAATATTAAAGTATTACTAAACCCAGGACCAGGGGCGGACTGACAACTCATGGGGCCCCTGGGCAATAGGGGATCATTGGGCCCCTGTGTCCTTGCCCAAACTCAAAAAAGCCTATGAAAATGGTACCAGGGGTATCTCATGGGGCACCTTACTGACCCCGGGTCCAAATGGTCAGTCCGCCCCTGCCCAGGACCCTGCATTCACTATATCTCGTCTCCCACAGTACACAGAATGGAGATTCCAATATTACTGGAAACCTTTTCTAGGTAATTCTGTTACTGGCATTTTGTCATCAGCAGCAGAATTGCCTGTGTGACACCAGCCCCTCTCTACATGGCAACACTTTCTTTTAACATGCAACATACTCTTGTAACAAGTCTATACATCCTTAACCACTTTCCCTCCAGAGGGTTTACCCCTCGTCCTGACCAGGTCATTTTTTGCATTACGGCGCTGCATTACTTTAACTGACAATTGCGCTGTCATGCAATACTGCACTGAAATTAAATTTATGTCCTTTTTTCCCACAAATTGAGCCTTATTTCTGTGGTATTTGATCATCTGTGAATTTTTTTTTTTTTTTGCTCTATAAAAAAAAGACCGACAATTTTGAGAAAAAAATATTTTTTACTTTTTTCTATTAAACATGTCAAATAAAAAATGTTAAAAATAAAATTTTGTCATACATTTACACCAAAATGTGTTCTGCTACATGTCTTTGCTAAAAAAAATCCCAATACATGTAAATTAATTGCTTTACGTGAAAGTTATAGCGTTTACAAATGACGGTATATATACTGGGATTTTTTTTTTCATAATTTTTACTGGTAATGGCGGTGATCAGCAACTTATAGCAGGATTGCGGGACTGCGGCGGACATTCTGACACTGGGGGGAACTGACTTGGTGTCACTGACATCCTCAGTGACACCAATACAGTGATCAGTGCTGAAAAAAAAGCACTGACACTGTACTAATGGCACTGAACAGGAAGGGGTTAACATAAGGGGCGATCAAAGGGTTAAGTGTGTGCTGAAAGTGTTTTACTGTGTGGCTGTGTCCATGTGCTTCACTGTAAGCATACTGCTGTGGAATGGCTCTGCTGTGCACAGCCATCCTCAGGATTGTGCCCAAGCTGACAGGGAGGAGAAATGTTAGTAAACAAAACAGATTCTCCTCCTCGTCGGAGATCCTCAGAAATCACCAGGTGCCAGCAAGTAATCACCAGCCGGGATTTGGTGATTGACAGCCTTGGCCGTGAATGGCGGTGCGGGTAGGGCATGTGTGTGGCTCGTGTGCACCCCCTACCCGGAAGTGCAAAATCATGTATATATACAGCATGTGATTTTGCATACCCTGCTGCCCTGTAGCAGTATTTCTGCTATAGGGTGGACAGGAAGTGGTTAAAGAGGCCCTTCACTCTCATTTCTTTCTTTCTGAACCCCTACATACCTGGTTGAGGGTCCAGCACAGTTAACATACTCACTAGCCCAGCAAATCTAGCAGTGTCCTGATGAGATCCTCTTCCCTTCTGTCCCTCACCACCATCTTCATGCATAGTGTCATTGGGAAGCCGCCAGCTTTTCCAGGTTCAGCTTGCGGCTCTCCCAATGACTCACTGCTAGGCTTGCCAGGTGAATGACATGCATGGGGGTGGGCCAAAAATGTTTTTATATAAAAAAGAGTAAATTAACAAACAAACAAAAAGACCTGTGGAAGTGTCGAGAATACCACAGGCATCCAACAAAGATGACCAGATCAGTGGGCTGTACCTTGGAAAATCAGAAAGCAGGCTGAGTAAGGTTAAATGAAGTTTATTAAAATAAATATCACTCTTACAACTCCAACAACACCAATAAACCATAACAATGTAAAGTGACAAAATAAATGTGAAAGTGCAGCAAACCAAAGGATACCCTAACTATATACAAATGGAGGGAGCACAGGTCAGGGCTAAGACAGGAAACAAAGGGAGCAGGGAGCAAGGTACTGGGAGAGCTGGATGCAGGGTACAAGGAGCAGGTCACAGGAACAGGTCTCAGAGTCAGGTGCAGGTACAGGAACAAAGATAATGCTCAGGTAGGGACATGGCTTGCAGGAGGAATACTGAAGCAATGAACCTCAGTTATAGGCAAGATTATATACCTCTCAGCAACCCACATCAGGTGCAGCTTAATTACTCGGACAGCCCAGCTGCTGGGAGACACTCGTTGGTGACCAGGTAATGACACAAGTTCTGAAAGGAAGGAAGGAGGGTTACAAAGGTGGGAAGATAAAAATGAGGGTGCTCATCTGCTTTAATCTACTGCAGGTAACCCAAAAGTTGACAATCTCTTAAAATACAACTTTCTAGGTTTTTTACAAGTATGTACATGATCTTCAGACCTATGTGGCAAACCACATAAGTCACAAATTTTCACAAACAAAATACACCCCAATTTTTTTTATACCATCATAAATGAGACAGGGTACCATAGGGCAGAGAGTCTGCAGGATTGCACAAACATATTAGGACAAGATTTACCTTTTTTACTGTTAGCATTTATTATTGATAAATATTAGTGTATATTTTTTTCATTACACAATAAATGTTATATTTGTACAAAACACTGAGGTAAGGGCTCTTGGCTTTATAAAGTCTACAATTCAATTGTACCTGTAGTTCTATCTGTCTCGAAATAAGTTTTCAATTCCTTACAATATAGGATAGAAACATAAGGAAGGTATTTCAGCAGTAAGCAATAGCAGTTCTCAAAGAGAATAGTATAGTGAATATACAGTGGAATATAATCTATGGAATCTTGTCTTAGATAATGTTCTCTTTACTGCAGCAACAAGTTTCCCACTTTGCTTTTTGTATTTCAGCTATCACTTATACTTTAGGTCTTGAAAAAAAGAGCGAAAATTTCACAGGGATGCCTTAAAGCTGAATGTCACTTTATTTAATGAGTACGGTTTACAGGGACAGTCTCAGCAAATATTTGTGGTGTGTTTTTGGCTGTAGAATGTTTTTCCTCTATTAAAATTAGCTTTGCTTACAGAAAGCAGCAGCACCCCAATTTACCTTTATTTGAATCCTGTTATTTACAAATAAATGCTTTTTCTGGTAGTTTTAGCAGTGGCACCTGTTTTTATTAAATTAAACAGTACTAGGTCTGCTTTGACCTGTATAACCACAACAGTTTTAAATGCAGATGGGAAGTCACATGAAGGTGGGTATGGATGGGTAAAAATTAGTCACTGGCCTCACAGTTTGATGACATAGTTTGTGAGCTTCATTTTTTAGACCTGTGTACTGCATCTTTTTAAAAGCTAAAGAGAATAAAGTGTAAAAACAATGCATCCCGCATTCCTTTCAATTCCCCTATCCTCACATCCACAATGCTTCCAAAATATTACATATAATAAGGATGAAACTGAACAGGTCAAAATGTAGAGAAAAATAGAGCTTCACTATACAAGAAAAAGCTGCTTTTTTGCCTGTGATTCCTAGAGGTGCAAACATTAAATGTCTATCGGCTTTTACTGCCATGAGTGGAACTTTGCAGATAGGACAAACAGTGATTCCTATGTCTGGAAAAAACAGGCGAAACACTTTGTTTTGGCATGCCCGACATCAAGCCCTTACACAAAGTCCCCTGAGATAGCATTTCATGTTTGACAACTTTGCCTACCTAGACATGAAAATGAGCAGCTACATTTGATAACTATGCTATTACAAGATTTAATATTCAGCAGATGAGAATCATTTCTGAAAAGATTAAAATCCACTGGACAGCTGATTAAGCATCTTTAGCCCTATTTTAAATCAATTGTGCGCAAAGCCTTTGTGGCTGTGAGAGGGTAAATCTCGGTCTCAAACGTGACCAGGGTTACTCTCATCCAATACTGATTATTAGCCGACAAGGCAGAGATAGAATCTAAGCAGGGAACACAGAATGATTTATTAACACACCCCAGCTTCCAATTCTGCCTGACATTTTACTTCATCAAACTAATTAAATGCTAGTGACACTGTTTGTAGAGAAATGAGAAGCGTTTCTGATGATTTCACACGGACTGTCTGCAATGTGCAGGTATCATTTCCTTGCCTTTGCCCACTGCTTTTTCCTGTGGTTATTGGCACTCAGAAAATATGACCAGATGGTCGTGTTGGCATCCAGTGTCCAATGCTAACTTCTTTCTAACAAAAACTAAGAGCACAACTCATAAATAATCTGTTCATGCCTTTATAAGTTAGACTGCTTTAGTATTAAATTACATATTTAATAAAGCAAATCAAGATACACAAGTACAGCTAGAGCTGCAGCATCAAAGCTTCTCACAGTGTACATTAGAAGTTTGCTGCAAGTCAAAGAAAGTCAACCTCATTTTTGGGATGGAGGAGATCCAACATCATCTAGTCTTTACCACACATTTTTCCTGTCAGTAGCCCACTCCTTTAATTGATTGGATTTAGGATGTTTTGTTCATGGAGGCACAGGGTCACATGTGAGTGTTAAGCCAGTCATAGACGGTTTGAATCTTGGCTCGTTCAGCTGGCAGGACCGGCTGAGATTCAATCCATGTATGGGCATCGATCGACTTGGGTACAACCAGCATATTAATTTCCTAGCATGTTATTATTGCCAATGGCTATATCCATTAGCAATAATCACTGTGTTCTCCCGGCAATAACGGCACCCCACGTGCCCTCTGCTGGAGAACACAATAGATCCGGGGGAGGGATTCTGCCATCAACACTGACTGTGTTGATGGTGGTATGTAGCAATTTTCTTTCCTGCAACCCATGATTGCAGGAAAGAAAATCACATAATCGATGGCCTGCCCTACCTAGAGAGATCTGTATGCAAATAGAGTCTGCCTAGGAACACCCATTTCTCCAGACTGAAAATTTTCCACCAAAGCATTTCGATTATTGCATAATTCTTCCCAAGCGCCAGTCCACTACTTTCCTCAGGACTGAGAGCTCTTGAGATGAGTACTGAAATAGGGT